CAGATTCCTCAAAGATTTATCTTTTTTAAAGAAAGTTCTGAATATCAAATACTGTGTTGCTATATGTAACTATTGAACTGATTAAAGTTTTGTTCATTCATAGGTTCCCAATTTTTTATACCTGGGTATATTTGGAAAACTGTACATAAATCGCTTCCTTAAGTAAAAGAATACACCTTTCAGACAGCAATATATTTTGAGTAATTTCCATTAAGCTATTCTGCACAATTCCACACAGTTATGCTGCAAGAAGACTGTATGCATCATACTTTCTAGCTTTGAAGAGAACCATTTAAGTTACCTCTACCACTTTGTAGTATGTTATAGAGAGAATAAACAGGATCGTCTGAAATCACAATAATTGTAAGATGATTATGCACCATAAAATAGCCAAGAAAAGATATTTGGATTAATATCAAGCAAAACAAACAGTTCCAACAGCAGATTATCATCCTGTTGTTGGAAAAAAAGTCCCAAACACAAACAGCATAATTTAAACTGCAGAAACCATTCACTTAACCAGACAGAAAAGGGAATCTTCGGATGTTAAAATTAAATAACCATGTAAAGTAAGACTGTCAACATAAAAATACAGAAGCAAAAGGGATGAAAATATGTAGCTTTATATTTAAATAAAACAAAACACAATAAAAAAGAATGTAATAAATACAATAGTAGGCACAAGAACATGTAGAATTGCTTTTTCCCCACAGAGTGGAATGAAGCATCCCTTTCTCTGAAGAACCACTCTTACCAGGAAGGTGTTCCATGGAGGAGAAAGAGGCTATGAAATGATGGATAGCTATGACCTTTCTATCTGTAAAACATGGGCATATTTTAGGTATTTAATCTTAAGAATTGGATTATTATTAATCAATTATTCATGACAATTTGAATCTATGGTAGATGTTTTTTGTTTTCTTAAATATCACATAGCTAAGGTCCTGCTTGAGAACTGAAAGGAGATTAAATCCTCACAAGCAAATAGTGTTCAAGACTGGCATTTTCTTCCCTCCTAAACATTCTTTCCCCTGCATAGCAGCACACATTGACAATAACCTAGTGCCCTCTGCAAAATTCTGCCTAAATATTCTGAAATCCACCTTTAGAGCCTTTTTTACCTAAGAAGGAAAAAAAATCTCCAGCCCCTTCCAAGGAACAAAGCAGCAAAAACTGCTACAGCTTCATTCCTATAGCCACAGGTTACCCTGATGCATGTGTTAACATCCAGTCTTCCTCACTTGCCAATGGTGAGTGATAAAAGAAGCAGAACCACTCCACTACAGGCCACCAGATCATACAATGAAAATAAGGAGTTTGCAGATATTTAAAATGCACTGCCAAAGAAGATAGCAGGTGGACTTACTCTAAGCTCTTTTGAAAAGCAGAACCTTTACAGCCTGAAATAAAATATAAAATATGTGTGTGTCTGTGAAGGGAAGCAAATAGGTCTCAACATTTTCTTGAAGAATAGCTGCTTTGAAAAGTATAGAGATTATCCCAATTGGAGGAACCACTGTGGAAAGACTCTCCTTTACTCAGGTTCAAAAATTGAAGGATACGGATAGTGAAGGCCACCTTGTGATGAGTAAAGCCAATTTAACACACCTAAACCCACCAAATATTTGGCAGCTCTTCCTGTTCTCAAATAATCTGTTAGAAAACATATACCTTATTTCAAGTCTAACTGAACTTCCAGACAGTATATCTAGTTCTCACTTTGTCTGCTACAGCCGAAGAACTATCTTACCAAATTTCTTTTTGTTGTGGCATCATGCTTCTTAAGGACTAGGCAAAGCCCCTCTTTATCCCCCTTTTTAACACTAAACAGACTGAATTCCAGATTTTCCACAATAAGGCATGTTTTCAGCTACTCCAGTCATTCCTGAGATATTTGTGGTTCTCCCCTGACCCTTCTCCAACAGTTATGCCAGTACATTAACAATTAATACAGAAAGGTAGCACAACTGTTGCCTTCTTATATAGCTCTTCCTTGTTTACATGTCAGTATACAGTGACCTTTTGATTCTCAAGATCTCTTCAAATATGATTAATTCCTTGGTTGAAGCTTCCCATAAGATTAACCATTTACTCTGGATATTATGAACGTAATAACATTCATGCGGAGAAGGGAATGCTCCAAAGGAGGTGGGGAAAAGGCTAATCCAGAGCAAATCTCTAGAGGTTAAAAAAAGGGAGCTTGAAAAAAGGACTGAAAGGGCAAAGCAAGGTGAACAGAAAATATCTTACTGTGGAAAACGGGGGCAGCATTTTAGTTGACTGATGTTGCCTGGTAAACAGAGTTCACAAGTGCAAATGAGAAATCATATATAATGAAGTCATTACAGGGCTCTAACACTGGACTTCATTGTTGGTGTGCCAATAAAACTAACTGATTAATCTACTTCCATATAACAGCAGGATAAAACAGCTGCAAACAAGGAAAATCTTGGAAATTAAATGCTGGAAACATTTATAAAACTAACGCTAACAAATGGAGCACGTATCAACTGTGGGGGTGGAAAACAATCTGTATGGGAAAAAGAAACGAAATTGTTAGGATAGTGGTGAATGGTGGTTAATACCTGAGAAAACTGAAGTATGCCCTGTCTAAAACAATTTAAAGAAAGAGTTGTAAAATATACTGTAATAATCAAGACACTGTTTATTTCTAACCTCAAGCTTCTTTCAATATGCAATAATCTGCAAACTTTAGTCTGGTGGGGTAATAGATCTAGTTGAATCAAGACCATTCTGAGCTGCAATACTTATTATTAACATGGAATACCTAAGTAATGTTTGTGATAAACAAGGTTCTCTTTGCTGTGCTTGTTCCAGTTGTCAAACTTTAGTTACTAGGTATATCGAGTTGCAAAACTTCTGCAAACTACAAGAAGTATTTGTAATTGAGTCAAGCACTGTTCCTCAATTTTTACAAGTAGAACAAACTTCCCCACTCATAGCATCTTTCTTTCACCTAAGAAAAGGAAGCTGATTTAATTTCATAAATTTTGCTTCTTCCATTTAAAAGGCTTTAAATTAAAGGTTAAGAAATCATTAATTTGAAGCAAAGAGAGGTTTGCATCATAGCTGCTAATAAAACATGACTCATAATAAAGCCTCTACTACACAAAACTTAACTATTAAGACTAAGTGATTTAGAAACTTACAGCTTTCACCTAAATTTGCTTTTCACAAAGTCAAAGGTGTGACTACTAGTGACTACAGGAGGAGCACAGTTATGCACACTGGAGCAGTACCTCATACCTCTGAATTTCATCCTGTCTTTGCCCTTTTCCCTGTTTAATTCAGCCGCAAATAACACTCCCATCACAGAGAACTACATATAACCATTGCACTTTACCAGGGGTTTGCACAATCTGCTGCAGTTTCTACTATATGTTGAAAAAACTATCATTTCCTCACACCTCCCCAGTGCAGCCACTACAGCATGTCCTTGTGGTGAACAGCTTAGAGGAAGCACAGCCCCACTCTGAAGTCCTTGGTCCTTTCCTCCAAACTTCAGGCATGCTGCTAACCACTATGAAATAAACCTGCTGTCCCATGGGTCTGGGAATAAGGAAGCTTCCAGGAGAAAGGAATAAGAAGGAGGCCACTCCAAAAGCAGAAGATGCCATATGCACCTTTCTATATCCTCAACATAAGCACAAAACAATTGCTTGTCCAGGTACAGCTAGGCCTAAAATACTAATCTTTTGGGATCAAGTAAACTCTCGAGCTGTGCAGAGCAATGTTTTACAGCCCTTTAAGAATTATTTTTAAATTGTCATATAAATACCTGACATGCTAAATTCAAGCTTCCTGTAAAGGACCTAGATAACTATTCAATACACTAGGGCTAGTATTTGCCAGGACTGATTATCTAGAATAAAAAGGGTTAACTAAGATTTGAAAAGAACTTCAAATGTTAACAAAAAGTTGAGAAGCTCAATGTATCGAGATTAATAAAAAACCAAAGCAAAACAACACCACATCGCCCCAAAAAAACCTCCAAACCTAAAAAGAAACAAGATAATTACAGTAAAAATCAACAGTTATTACAAGAGTTGGTTAAGAAATATGAATTTACCCCACTGCCTACAGTGTAGTCTGTGTGCAGTGTAAAGACATACTGATCCTTAAGTGTGTGCTCAGACAAGGACCTCAGAGAGCTGGAGCACCACTCAGTATTTAGTCCATTTGCTTTCTGAATACACCCTATAATTAGAGAACAATTTTTCATACTGCCCCTCCCTTGAGCAACCAATGTTCAAGCATTCACAGAATTTTAGAGCAGTATTAGCTCTAGCAGTTGACAGAAATATTTTTGCCTTAGGAGGGTGCAACTGTGGATGATCATTTGAACAGCATATGATCTTCAGTTCAAGACATGAAAATGGGAATAACCTTGCACACCTTTTCATGTTTTAAAGCATGCAAGACATATATTAGGAATGTGGATCTGTAAAAATGAATTAAAAACTCCACAATTCCATAGCATAGGTCTAAAACCTTGTATTACAGCATTCTTCTAGTTTTGAAAGGAGTAATTATTTAAGGATTCAAAACTCTTAATAAACTTAAACCTGACTAGTACTCAGTACATCTGGAAGCAACTGCTCTCAGCATGGTTTGCTCTGCACTTAAATATATAACCTGGGAAATCAAGGATGATAACATCCAGCACAGCTCCATATTGAAGCTCAAGTGCTTACAAAGTATACTACCATGAATGATAAGAGAAGAATATAATACTAAGGCTTTAAAATGTAGATGCTACAGAGGCCCATACTATACTGCACCAGTCGAATCACACCTTTATTTGTACTTGTTACTTATGAACGCTGACAGGAGTCAATCTGGGAAATAAATTCAGTAGATGTGCCTTACAGTTGCAACACAATTGCATTTGACACACATTTAACAGAGTCAACAGGCAGTATCCTGTTACACTGCGAAAGCAAGCCTGAAGAGCAGCAACTTGTTCTGGAAATACTTACTTCTGATGAGGTCACCATCAGTGCAATTTTCCCAGATGGACCGCTCTTGTATCTCTGCTTGTACACTTCGGTTACTGGAAGGCTGGTTTATCTCTTTATCTCCTGCCACAGTATTCTCTTGGCCAGTTTTTTCTAAGTCAAAAGAAATGTTAAGAAGTTAGTTTTTCTCTCTGTATTTTTTCTCTATGTGAGCAAAACTCATTTTTGAAAACTAAAAGCAAAAAAGGATAAAATATAACTTGTCTTAGCATCTCATTTTGTACCTTAAAATTAATTCCTAATAAAGATGATTTTTTAATTTGTTTTCTGGTCTAGATTACAATTATTTCTCTTTATGACAGTTTTTTAGCCATATTGTGTCTAATTGCACAAAATAATACCCAGCAGCTTTCGCAACAAGTTATGGTTCAGGTTTTCTTAGTTACCTTCCACAAAACTTCCATATAAAAATTTGAATCACTTTATCACAAAAAGAGCCACTGTAATTTTTCCTGCGTGCCTGTGGCTCTGGCACATAAAAGCTGTAAACATTTCACAAAAGTATGTTCTCTGTTATTTACAATTAAATATACAATGAAATACAAATACAGTTGAAACTACAAGACTAGTACAGAAATTTAGAAAAACTTATAAAACAATTACCTATATTTCATTGAAAAAATAAGGTTTTTAAAAGCCACTGATGAAAAAAAAGTCAACATTTAGTCTATCATGAAAAGAAAGTATTTCTTCTCTCCGATTATAAGCAAGATGCAGGGAAATTACCATGGTAAGGTTATTCAGAGTGATTCTTAAACTTATTTCACTATGTAACAGATCTTGTTGTTCAGATGATTTTGCCGGTTAACACATGCAGACCTGCATTTCCTCAAACCAAAGTAAGTGACAGTTTTCTTCTTTACTGTCATTAAGGTTTTAATAGCCAAATTCACACACACAGATCTTCCTGTTCTTGATTGCTACAGATTTTGTTACTGGTATTCAAGGAAACACTTTTAAATCTGGAATTACTCTGTTCATTATTTACAGCAACAGATTATCATTTTATATCACTTAAGGGATCTGTAAAACACTAAATCTTTTCTGTTTCATGTAATTTTTTTAGTATACATACAACATTTAATATTTACAGTAAATCTAAATGAGCAACTGTTGAAAAGTCTCTTAGCTCTATTTATTTTTTCAAACAAGACCATGTTTATAAATCTCTTATCACAATACAATGATACCCTATCCTCTAGTAAAGCAATGATTCCAGTCCTGAGACACCGAAAAATCACATATTTCTGCTGAGACATAGCAAAGGTTAGTTTCTTCATGTAACCCACAGCAGTGTGATTTTAAATCCTAACTTTCCACATTTGTTACCACCCTATTAAACTGAGGCACTGAACATCACTCAAAATCATATATGTCAGCTTGTGTGTATTGTAGCATATGTCTTCAAGCACTGCTGCTCCCCTTCTATCAATTTCCACCTCTGAAATGTCTGACCCAGCTACTTCCGTGGTACTTCTCTCTCAGCCCTCCCATCCACCACCATTTCTTCAACAACTTAACAGTATTTCCTCAAGTCCATCCTGAGAGGAACGGTTTCCCTGGGATGGGCATAGTTACTGAAGTGACTGGGAAGGTATCACTTGACTTCAGTGAGTTTTCCCCCTTGCCCCGATGACTTAATCTCACCTAGATAATCATCCTATGAACAAAAAAAAAGAAAGTAAAAAGGCATAGAGACATCAGATACAAATTATTTCTACCTTGTATCTATCAAATACAAACTGACTGTACTGAAGTACGATGATTTTGCCTGTACAGTTAAGTATCAGGTGCAAATGTATTTCAAAAGTGTTTGAAAAGTGCCCTGAAACAGAAGGAATAAAAATAAGTAGTGTCCTGGACTGAGCTAGGGTAAAAGCAGTCTGCTTTTCACAAACAATAGGCTTAAACGAGGCGTTTTAAAAGATTTTACTCCTCAATTACTTGACTGCAGTAATGACACCAAAATTACAATATGTACCCAGCAGTGGTAGTACAGAACTACAGAGTTACTGTATACAATTCTCTTGTATAGGATATGACTTTGCAAAGCCCTATTATCTCATGTAGTAAACAATGAATTGCTCCAAGGAAGCAATAATGTTAATATTATGGGGCCCTCAGTGTTCTAGATTACATTTTTATCTAAGAAAACTGAAGGAGTGCAGAATACAATTGGACGTCATTATTCATATGAATTTAGTTTTCATCCCTCTGCTTGTTTTCAGTTCAGTATTTTTTCTCTCTCTTTTTTTCCTTACAATCTAGGATGAATGTCTATTTTTCATGCACACTTTCATTATTGTAGCTGGATATGGTAAATGGCCAGTCAAAACCATGCAAACGATATTAGCAGTTAACAAGAAACAAGAGGTATTATTTTAAAAAGAAAGTGTTGCACACCAAAAATTGAACACCAAACAATTTTGATATAACATTTACAACAATTAACTATCTGTTCTTCGATCTGTTGAATTCACATGAAGACTTCCCCATCAATGTGCAAACACCATTACACATGTATTTGGCATCTTACTTTGTACTCCAGATTTGCCTGCTGGAGGACCTCATCCTGACAGATGCTGCTTTATGGGGTGCTCACTCTGTGTTGCAGCTAAGGACCACAGAGCTGCTTCTCCCTTCCCCAGCTCCGAGTGGGACCAGGGGAGAGAACAGAAAGACACCAAGGGAGGAAACTCATGGGTCAAGATATAGTTTAATAAGTAAAGAGGAAGGAAAAATAAAACAAGTGATGCAAAGGCAATCACCCACCCAATCCCACAAGTAGATTGATGTCCAAGCTAGTCTATAAACAATGGCTACCTCCCCTAAAACCTCCCCCCCCAGTTTTTATTGATGAATGAGACATTATATAGCATGGAATAGCCCTCTGGCCAGTCTGAGCCAGGTGCCTGGGTTGTGTCCCCTCCCAACCCCATGCCCACCCCAAGTCCAGTCACTGGCAAAGAAGAGTGGGAAAAGAGAAAACCTTGATGATGTGCAAGTGCTGCTCAGCAATAGACAAACCACTGGTGTGCTAGCAACCTTATTAGAGTCACTGATCCCAAACACAGTGCCACAAGGGCTGCTATGAAGCAAATAAACTCCATCACAGCCAGACTTAGTACAATGGGGCTTTAGAAATAATAGACCTTAAGCTCTGTTCATTTGAGCTTTTTTTCATACATCACTTCTGATACATCAGAATGCTGAAAATAGACACACACTGGTGTCCTGATTCAATATCTGCTTTTCCTTAAATGTGCACCATGTCTCAGTTTTAGTACAAAGGCATTTACTGATTATTCCTGTATAACAAACAGATGATGATGGGATCACAACTTTTCCTTAATACTACAGGTGCAACTACAACATGCCCACTACAACCAATCAGACAGGAAGACAGCCCCAAGAACATTTCTGAGTCTGTCTTTTCCTGTTGCCATTACTTTTGTGTTAGGTGCATAAGAATAATGACAACAGTAGATTATGCTATTAAAAATTATGAGTCCAGTAAGAATCAACACAAAGACCTTACTCTTCTGTGATGTGCCAAGCTTGCGGCAGAGCAGCTTTAATAAAAGTCTACAGCTGATACAAATACTAATGACTGGATCTGGCCATAGACAAGTATGACTTTTTTTCTACTGCATCTTCAGGTAAATTTATAGCACTTATCTGTTTCAATCAAGCTTACCCTTCAGATTTTTTTATGTAAGACTTCCTTAGTATTTTAGCTTCTGCATTCTTTAGTACACCCTTCCACTCTCATGTGACTAATCTTCAAAACTGAGAGCCAAGAAGAAAAAGAGATGCTCTTCCTAGCAGTTCAAATAACAGAAAGAAAAGACTCATTATGTTCTGAGTCTGGCAGCGCTTAAGTATAAACCCAATCTCTCTTCAAAAACCACAGTAAGTTACTCTAGGTCATGTCACAAAAGCAACACAGACTTCTTACCTACCACAGTTCAGCCCCAAACCAGCACCCTGTGTGGCTATGTACTTCCCCTAAACTAAGAGAAGTACCATGGCAGAAGAGCTTCTAGTCAAAAGCCCCAGGGAGTGACAACACCCTGTAATCTATCCTAGAGGTGAGCATGAGCAAAAACTCTACTTGTGCAGAGATTAATGTAAGTTTAAGGTTTAAATAAGTAAGAGGTATGACACACAAGCATAGTATAGAATTGAGATAGTTAACAGCCCAAATCATATCTATTATACAGATGACTGTTAAACCACTTAATAAAAAAAATAAAATTTCAATTACATCTCAAAATTACTGTTTCATTAAATTAGTGAGCAAAGTGAACTGTTTTTTTCATTTAAAGTTACTGAAGTATGTATAAAACACTTTCATAGTACATACATTTGTTTTACCATAATCTTGGTCTATGTTTTTGAAATACACAGCAATACATGTATTTCATAGACTCAAAACTTGTTTTCACCACTGAGACTATTCTAACATTGACTGTTAACTTCTGTTTTAGTTTGGAGTATGTGCCTCTGGTTACACACACATCTTCACAACACAACAAATCTTACAAGTCTCCACCAATGGAATAGTGTCAGCTGTCCAGGTCAGCAACAAGACTATTACAAAAAGAAAATTTAACAAATAGTCAGGACTGTCAAGAAAGACTTATGTATAGCTAGGCAAAATGGGTATACAAGGCAGTCTCCCCAGACTCCTTCTAATTCTGCCTTCTCTGGCTTTGGGAAGTTGCTGGGATACACATCAAACTAATTCCTGAAAAATTCTTAGAACATCCCAGTGAAGTATTCTTCTTTTCAGAGCTACATTTGCTCTGTCTTTCTCTATGATAATGTAGAGCATATTGAGTGGAGGTTGAATTAGTAACACAACACTGACAGAAAATACAGAAGAGAGGATGTACATTTGTAAGCCACACCTCAAAGAGCTCAAGTCTTGCACAACCAACTTTTCTTTTCCATGTCCGTTTGCACATTCACACTCTAGCTGCCCCCACAGGCCCCACTACATCTCTTTATTCAGAAATGGATCTCAGTGTGTTCAAACATGGCATCATACCTGTATCAGTAACCATGTAACATACACAAAACAAAAATGA